AATGAAAGCTGCCATGCGACTTCCCCTTCTGACGTCACAAGGGGAATTTCTGTATGCAAATGAGAAGCTAATGAGGAGCCTCGTTTTAAAATACACAAAAATAAAGTTGCGGTAGACTGAGTTTAAAACACATTTTTTCACTTAAAAAATAATAATTCATGCTTAGAAACATAAAAATTAATAATATTTATGTATCAATTGATAATTTTAGGCGTGAAAATAGAAGCCATTTCACAGGCACTTTAAATAATGACACGCTATGGCCATCTGACGCATGCGCAGGTGACGACTCCACCGCTTTAAATCGTACGATTTTTTGTTTCTGGTAAGAAGTGTCATCAAATTATATAGTTGACAATATAATATAGTAAACTGGAACGTAGATTGTTTGCCAGTGATTTTCGAGACTTTTACGATGATAATGAACCATCTAAATCCTAATATATATTCTTCATTCTTTGTTTTTAGTTTAAAGAGACCTACCATAAAATCTTTAAAATGAAGAGCTGAGATCACTTGTTACGATTTAAATGTTAAAAATTGTATGTTTCTGAGTCATAATACACCTGTCGTCCAATTCAGATTGTTAACAAGAACATTTGGCTTTCAGTCTGTGATCTTCGAGACTCTCGGCTTTATTATTCCCTCACCAACGCATCATGTGATTGTTCAATCGCAGACGCGAACTCGCGTAACAGACGATAATCTCAAATTAACAATTTTTTCTCAAATTTATTATCTTTGCTATTAGCACATATCAGTAGCAGTATTTATGAGAGTAAAAGTGTGAGCGCCGTGCAGTGAATATATTTTTTTATCGTTGACCGCAACGTGACATCACTCTAATCGTACGTACATCGTGGTCACAGTCAGCTGGCGCACACGTGATAATAAAATAAATACGATATTTACAATACGGTGGCCGCCATCTTGAATGACGCATAAAACTAAATAAGTCTCTTATTTAGTTTTATAAGACTACAGCAAACCAAAGATTACTCGGCATGCGAACATTGGTGACAATCCTGCAGACTTGGCATCCCTGCCAGAGAACTGATTCAGAGTTCTTCATAGTTGAACGGGCAAGCCTTCTTGTCAACAGTGGAAATATTACTGCCAACAAGAGATTGCATTATAGGACTTATAGGAAGTTAAGAGAGTGCATTGAACAGATAAGTCAAACCTGACTGATTGACATAAGGCAACAAAAACCGCAGCAATGTTTTTGATTCTAGTAGAAATTGCAAAACAGAGTTGTACACCAGTTCTAAAAAATATGAGTCACTGGAAGAAGCTGTGAAGACAATATATGGCACCAATAAATGAACAAATACAAAGTGCTGAAAATAATCAAGAGAGCATAAAGTGGGGACATTTAAAGGGTGGCAGTCGTCGTGCTGCGCCCTGTTTGATATTGGACTCACAGCGACGTACACAGCGCGTGTAAAATACATCGTTTATTTACTGTACATGAAATTCGAACACGCGCTGCGCGACGACCACCGCGCTTTAACAAGGATCATGATATTCTTTTTGGCGTAGACCATCAAAGTGGCAAAACAGATTTCGTGAATAAACACGCCCTGAAGAAGATTACTGGTACTATTTCCCGATTAGATCCATATTCTGGCGACACACACTCGGAATTGGAGCCGCAAAGATCAAAGAGCCAATCCACCATGCAAGAAACATCTCCCATTCTGTACAGTTGCATAAACATGGACATGTTACAAATGTAACGTAAAAAATTATCATTTGGATTCTGGATGACATTGAATGAGATCTGCACTTCTGGTTACTGTGTTGTTGTTTCTAGAGCTACTGTCATGTCATGTGTATGGAAACGTGTTACATATTGTAAGTTACGTGAAGTTTACCAACTTGAAGATCAAAAGATGGCAGATCTACCAACATATAGAATAGAACCTGCACCTTCATCCAAGTATAGTGCTGTGATTACGAAAAACGACGTGAATTTAAAAGATGTGGTACGCAGTTCACTTGCCTGATTTCATGAGCAATACATTTGCAGCAATATTTATTGAGCACTGATTCATTCCTAAATGCCTATCACCACCACTTTGTTTGTCATCTATGGTCCAGTTTGACAACTTTGATCGGAGAAAAAAAGTAACTTCACTGGGGGGGGGGGGCAGAAAGAATTGACGATGGTACTATTTGAAATGAATACAGATAGTAAGTATGAAAAGAATTGTTGAAGATGGTGGCGTATGGGAAAGACCGATTTCAGCAAAAAATACACCATCCGCTCTTAACAACACATGGTCCTCGACTAAATGATGAGTTTCTGAGAATTAGTGGGAGGTCATTGTCAATAGTCGTCCTCTCACCTACACTGATGGGAACCTATATCAACTGATTAAAACCACTTTCACCGGATCAAATTCAGACTCCCTAGTTTGAACCACCTGCCTAGGTGCCTTATTCATATTATATTCATAAGTTGCAGTATGAGTAGCCAATTAGTGACCGCGTTGCAGCTGGTGCACGTGATTTCTTGCATTAATGAGGTTCGAGGACGACTATTGACAATGGCCTCTGCTTTAAAGCATCTGCCTGATAGTTTGAATGTGTTAAGGTATGCTATAAAATACATACATGTACCTTACATATATATAATACAGTAAAAAGTAAGCAGTATTCCGAACACCTGTGGTCATTCTCCTGTAGTCTTAAGGAAATTGTCCAAATTCAAAAAGATTTGGTACGTATCATTAGCATTTAAAGAAAATTTGTATTACAAAAAAACAAAAACAATTATTGTGCTTGCTATCATGACGTTCACTTTTTCGAACTGTTCGGTACTTTAATTTGTAGATACTCTGTTTCAAAATATTTCAGTTAAGTACAAACGTATAAACGAATCATACAGTATAGACCACTTTCATGCCTGGAACAGTGTAGTGGTACTTAGTAAAGCCGGATTAATATGGATTAACTTATTGTCTTTTCTAATAATTGATTCATAAATAAATAAATAAATAAATAAATAAATAAACAAATAAATAAATAAATAAATAAATAAATAAATAAATAAATAAATAAATAAATAAATAAATAAATAAATAAATAAATAAATCAATAAATAAATAAATAAATCAATCAATCAATCAATCAATCAATCAATCAATAAAAATGTCTTTATCGTCGCACGCAAAAAAACGTATGTTTTCAGCGACGTGTTTTCAGACACAATACATACGATTTTAATCAGATTGGCGTTTGAGTGTGGGTGATAGTATTACATAATGGTATAAATATTTACGTCCTTGGTAAACAATGGAGGTCAAATTTGAGCTACGTAATGTATTTATAAAATGATAAGTATCATGTAGGGCTATGTAATATATGCGTAATGTGGGATGTACTTTTGGTATTGTTGCGTAATGTAATATGATTTGTATCATTTTAATGTGTTATGATCTCGATTTTTTAAAAATTTCTAACGATCATCTAATCGTTATTCAGTCTTTGACTCGGGAATACATATAAGTTGTTCCTGTTTCCGGTTGTATCTCATTGTGAGCGCGAGGAATAGTACATTATACTTGATATCATGTGACCTTCCGTGAGTCATGGAACCTTTTAACACGTATGCATGTTTTAATATGACAGCGCCATCATACGACCATACATTGCACGATTCAGCGCGAGTTGCTTTGCGTTTGTGAAACTTCTAAAACATCTTGTTGGGCTACAAACCAGTCTACTGTAATTCAAGATTAATTTGATTGATTCATCACATGTCGGAGGGGGGGGGATACTCCAAGTCAGACCTGGTACCCATGCTAAAGTAAAGCTTTTCAAAAACACGTACTTATTTTTAGGAAATTATACCCCTTTTCAAGTGCAGAAACTTAAAATAGATACTACCCTATATACATACTAAAATCACACTGTTTCCAAGTTGACGTAATATGAATTCATGAGATTCCTTTTTCACACTATATTATTACTGTATATTCTAAGTTACATTCGATACACTCGTATACGCGTCAATGGCCAGGAAAATATCAAGATTTAAAAACTTTAATTTTTTTTTTTTTAAATTTCCGGACAATTTCCCAGTGATTCATAATTAAGGGGTTGACCATTTAAAATCCTTGGGGTGGCTTTGTTAAAAAAATACAAGCTAGTCACCGAGAGAAGAAAATAAAAGGAAAGTGTTGCACGTTAAAGAAAATAAAAATATGAATGTGAAAGGATTGACATTTGGAAGGGGTCTGGTAGAAAAAAAGGTTTGAATTATGTTTTTCCACATTATCTTGAGCTAGATTTAGGGGTTCCAGGTGTAGCTGTGAGCATTTTTGCTTTGCTTTTCCTCTATTAAATAAGTCTGTGTTTTATAAAAACACATTTTTTCAGTGAAGACCCGCTCCAGAAATCTACCATCATGTCTCCACCCGAGTATCAACAGACCTTTTATGTGTTATGGTCTTGTGAGCGGCAGTTAGTTGTTCTAGGAATTTTAAATAAAACACGAAGTTGCCAGAATATTTTTTTAAATAGAATAGAATAGAATAGAATAGAATAGAATAGAATAGAATAGAATAGAATAGAATAGAATAGAATAGAATAGAATAGAATAGAATAGAATTGATACTGCAGAGCATTCTTGTTTCAAATAGCAGAAATTCCAAACCGAATTTATATTGCAATTTTATTGTAAATTGAAACAAATCCGGAATATTGTTCCCCTGGTAATTTAGGAAATTTATGAAATAAATACACGAGATTACCAGCTGAGACTGCAAAGCATCTGCCTTGCACTTCCGGCATTTCCCGGGTCACATTGCATCCTGGGTAATTCTGACGTCATACGGGCGGACATCTTGTCGGTTTGCAGTCCTCAGTTATGTCTTCATAGGAGTGGTACGTAAACTTTCGAGGGGAAACAGTACTTGTGTCTTGTTTTTGCATCGTTTTTGCGCGCCGATCGAGCCCATGTGAGTCTGAGGAAATACCCTAGGAATACTTGCCACCGGAATTTCGTCAATCATGTTTCGCTGTATCCCTTTATTCCGTGCCTGCAACAGGCAGGTGGATATTATTGAGCGGCGACACTGTAATCTCACCATGATACCGGACGATGTATACCGCTATGCACGGAGTTTAGAAGAACTTTACCTCGATGCCAACCAGCTCAGGGAATTAAATAGGGTGAGTACGCATTCACTGAATATGAACTGGGCCACAACTTGGCTAGAATCGGTGACAGAAAAGCAAATATGTCAGTAAATGCTCCATCGAGTCCTTTTCCTGTCTGCTATTGTATCAGGCACTGTATCGATGCACTCCAGTTACGCTTATCGCTTCGTCGTTTTTACGTTTTTTTCCGGGTTTGTCACATTGCTATAATTAATTATTGTATAATTAAATATAATTCATGTATGACCGGTTTACGTGTGCGTCGATTTCATTTGCCCTCTGCAACCTAACAAATGTAATTCATTTTTTGACGCCGTCCATTTGTCTACGCCCTTACATGTGTTGTGTGGGCTTCCGCTGATCCATATAATTACGTATCTTACTGTACTGTTTTTTCCCACATTTTTACAGCCTTTCTTTCGCTTATTGAATATCCGCAAACTCGGACTAAGTGACAATGAAATTGAAGCATTGCCCCCTGAAGTCGGAAACTTCATGAACCTGATCGAGCTTGACATAAGTCGAAACGGTAAGTTTTGTAAACAAGCGCTTGTTTTCCCCTTTCAGCATGGCAATGGAGCGCCAATTAGCGCATTCCCCAGTCCATGTTTTGACTGGTTGTATCCATCGCTCCACGTAAACTAATTACGATGTGAATGTGTGGGTGGGTTTTTATCTCTAATCCATCTGGGGCAATATACTTGGGGCGAGAAAACAACAGCATAATCAATAAAGTTATAGTAATAACACCACCCAACCAACGTTGCAGCTGAGGTTGAACTGTTTGAAGTCCTGACTTGTAACATGTTGTATTGAACACAGTGTAATGGTATCAACAATATTTACCGGTAATGAAATGGCAGTGAGTTATACACTTTTGATTCATAAAAAAAAAGGATACTACAATACAATAAATATTGTTCGTAATCTTGTTGTAATTTTCCTTGGGTCTTGAACCTTTGATGTTGAAATCGAGGTCAACACGAGATAAGACATATCTGTAAAAATATGTCATTGTTGATCAATACACTTTCAAATCTGACTGACCTACTCAACTGAAGGAATGTTATTGTGAAAGATAATTATGGCAAGTAGAGGAAAAGAAATCGTGTGTTGTAATCAGAAAATGGACAAAATGAAACATTACTGTTTATGGTATATGATGGATGACACTATGTTCTTAGGTTATGTAAATTACCGATTTTATTTTATCACCTCAAGGCTATGTTATGTAAGCTAAGTGTAAGAGATCTATAAAAATAATTGGTTTGATGTGTTCACTTTTACAGTACTATTATGACACCATTTATGTGCAGGCGGCGTGTTCTGTTAAAAGAATCATAGTCATTCCTGATTTAGAAAGAACACCTAATATTGGATATCAGCATCAATGGCACAACCCTTTCAAAAATATCTAATACTTACACCATCACATAAATGCTATGAATCATGGAATAGTGCGTAGTGTGTTTTTTCGACTGCTTGGTGTTCTCATGATTTTATATTGTAAAAGATGCTGTGACTGTTCTGTCTTTATGACCTTTGTGAACTTTTTACCACCACGATGATCCACAAAAAATATTCTCCATGTGTTGATTGCTGGCATATAATACAGGTCTTGTATTTATATATAGAATTTATTAATTCCAAAATTATATTACTTTTTTTTTTTGTAACAACACAGTCGCTTTGCATGGATGTTTTATTCAAAGGATCGCACTGTGCTACTCTCAGTTTCATCAACAATGTGCAGTATATTTACTGAGTAAATTAATATTTCATTTATTATTTGGACAGTTTGATGCCATGATTTATCAAAGGGCTATTAATCAGAAAGCTGCAATAGACTATATCATCACAGTGTGGCGGAATATTGTCTTCCTAAAAAGATCTCTTCTCTGTATACAAATACTGTATATATTGATAAATGTCTTGTAATGCTTTTAACCCAGTTTCAACTTTTTGTTTTTAGTCACCCTCATCACCCCCATTCCTAAGATGTACATGGCTTCTATACATGCACTTTTATATGCCATCTATAAAATCCCCTGCCCTTGAACTCCAGAATTGACCAAAGATATTTGCATGACAATAGCTTGAGGGTCTCAAAGGCTATTCGGGGAAGGACAATTAGGGCTGTTTATTGTTGTGCAAATTTAGATCTTGAATTCCTGCAGTTTGCTTTTATGTAAATAAATATGCGAATCAATAGCTTACACACAGTATAGGTAGCCCCACTGTGCTAACGATCTGACTGTTTTATTCTTCCTATTTGGCCTAGAGGGTTGTTCAAATTAGTCTGTGCGCTAGACATTATCATACAGGAAACTTGATATAGTTTATTTCAAATCGTTATCATATTTATGTTCTGTGCTGTGTCATAGCTTGTGTTATGGAATTTGTTGTTGTTGTTAAAAATGTGTTCGTGCATTGGCTATGCTGTAAAATGACTAATTTTCACTGGGTTTAAATGTTGCTGATTTACCATTTCAGGCATATTCAGTGGGTTTTAAATTCACGGTTTTATTATTTCAGATAATGTGTTCTATGCTAAATTTTACATATTCGCTATGTTTTAATTTAGCGCATTTTCCAGTCAGCGAAATAAGTAAAATTAAAACCCAGTGAATAATCAACCCCTTTACAGTAATCTAGATTTGTTTATTTGAAATGATGTTACTGTATTTGATATATTAATAGCACATGTGCTTATGTAGATTACACAGTTGTGGCTGTGGTCAAAATATGTCATATTTTAATGATCTTGTATACACTAAATAACATTTTTAGTTTGTGTATGCTTCCATTGGAGATGTGCTTCGAATTGAGTGAATATTGTGCATGTAAATTATTGTAAAAAAAAAATTTTGCTTTTTTTAGCTGATTTAGCCTTTAAGTAAAAATAAATAAGTCAAAATAATGTAAATTTACGGTAAATGCTATATTTTATTTGTAACAAAATATTTAATTATCTGAACACATTTTGGGAATGTTTAATGATTTTTTTGGTGCTGCATTAAAATAGACTGTATTCTCTCCAGGAAAATAGGTTTCAAGAATTACGGTTGATGTAATTGTGACTGAAACTGATAGTCTTTGAGTGGCAGGTGTGAGTGTTTTCATGCCTACATTGCTGACTTTGAAACATAATCATATAATCTTAAGGAGACTGTGCTGTCCCCCAAAGTAAGAAGGGTAACGCCATCAGCTATACTTACAAAAAAGTGAAGAGCTGAGCTATCCCCCAAAGTAAGAAGTGTAACGCCATCAGCTATACTTATAAAAAAGTGAAGAGCTGTGGAATGGAATCATAGAGATTTAGTATTTTTAGCGTGAAACTGAGCCGATTTAGTTATCGCTTTTTTTCATTGGTTACAGGTTTTGTGAAAAAATACAGAAAAAAATATATAGGTTCACTTTTAAAAGGTGAACAAAGTTGAGTTTACGCAAGCATTTGTTCCATGATCAGGTTCAAGTTTTCCAATTGGCAGCCATTTTAATACCAAAAATAACACATTTTCACCGGATCTCAGTTCTCAGTGTGAATGGATTTGGTTCAAACTTGATACATATACAATAGAACTTGATGCATGTCATTGTATTGACTGGTGGTAATATTCCAGTTCCTCTCGGCCACATCTCATACATGATGGTCAATATTACAGGATGGGCCGATTCCGCCGATAATGTTAAGCTATGACGTCATATGAACCTCTAATTCCGATAGTGGTGATTAATAAATTGCGATAATGGGCAGCGTCTTGTCTTTTACTCCCTAGATAATGGACAGCGCAGAGTCTTTTATTTCAATTATAAAACCTTGAAACATCAACAAACTAAAATGTGGAAACCTATGCAATCTTGTTTGTGCTTTCATACGTTGACCCCAAACATTGCCCTTTTATCGTCTGATAACTGGATAAATGGTCCCGATCACCAATAAAAACACAATGTTGCAGCACACAGTATTATGATTTATTGTTAATTTGTAAAACTATTTACCCATGATGACACAAAGTTATAACAATTTGGTGTACCTGGCTGTTGAATCTACTATCACCTCAAAAAAGCAAGTTTAATATTATTAATAATAATAATATTTTATTGCATCTTTTGAAATAACATTTCTATCAGTGTCAAGAAATGAAGTGTTAAGATAAAAAATGTGACGAGTAACATTAATAAGAAACTTCTTGCTCGGATGAAGACATTTACGACACAACTTTGTGAGGTCACTAAACTAAATTGCCTGCAAATGACGCTTGTGGGGATGGGGACAAATAAGTTATGAATGCATTTACTATCATTTATTTCTATGCAAATTAGCTATGGTCATTACAGTAATGTTGTATTTCATGTATTTCTTTCAATGGAGTGAATGACTATACTTTATATTTAAAAGGAACGTTGATCGAATTCTAAGTAAGCCCCCCCCCCATAACAGTAACCCAAATCTCTTAGAAGTCTCGTTTTTTATCTGCCATGTATTTTGTGGGTCATTAATCCTTAAGATTTTGCTCTTCTGATCAAGCAAATGTATCCCTGTTGAATTGCATTGACCATTGACCTATGCACGAATTCAACCCTTGTGTTCTATATAGACCTTTGAGACTAGGTATTTCAGGTATGCTGTCAGCGAAAGATAACTCAGTTATGCAGTCTATTGTGTTTTGTCTAAGCTGTCTGTAGTTGACATGGAGTTGTGCCCCAGTTATGGTCTGCTCCCATCAGTGCTAACTCTGGTTTTCTGTAGTGTGTCATAATAAAATTGTATTTTTATTTTACATAGTGTTATCTATGTTCCCCTGGACTCTGGCAGCGACGCATGGAAATTTAGGGTTAGGTCTTTATGCTTAAACGCATAATTAACTAGTGTCTTGGCAGATCCACATCTGCACTATTCATTCTTGTTATAAAAAAGGTCATAATCAGTTAATGAAGTTGGTGATTAATTCACCTGTAATGAAAACTCAGGTCCTGTCTAGTTAATAACTGCTTTAGAATTTGTGAAAATATCAGTAGTGCCATTACTTTTGTATTTTAAATTGAACTTTGTACCCTAAGGTAAAAGGCCACATAGGCCGACCACTCAGTTGTTTGCACGTTCCACCTTTCTGTATTTTTATGTTTTCGCATGTGCCCCACCCCCCTCTCCAACCCTATACTTATCACATCTTAATGCAGATGGGTACTTGAAGTAGTTAATTTCGTGACACTGTAGGTATTTCATTTAGTGGTATATACCTTATTATACTGATAGGGTCTGTGCGTGTTAAATGAGGTCATGTGAGGCCAGGGATTAATTGAAGTGCAGTGTGTCAGTTATAGAGTGTTATCTTTTTTAATAGCCTTGTATCCTTGTATTGTGCTATATGGTTCCTCCCACCAACTGACCACAGCACAGAATGAAAATTTGAATTTGTTGTTATCATTATTGTCTCCTCTTTGTGTCTGGTCTTAACTTAACTAGTAGGAATTAAACTTCTGTGTTTTGATGAATTTCATCCAAACTGAAAAAACCTTCAAGTG